CCGCATCTTTTTGGACAATTCTCTTCTAAACTCAGAAATATTTCTTTGCACTGATGGCAAACTTTCAACAATCCTCTCGATATCTTTAGGAGCTAAAGATAATTTGACTGCTTGTAGCTGCAGTATGGGGGTTGCAGATGGAACTGGATCAATCCCTTTTGCCCTAGTCTGAGCCTTTTGTCTTGCTCCACACACTTCAACTGCATTTACATCTTTATCTATCAAACCAGAATTTCTAGTGTTTTCTAGTCTACAGAAAGACTGTAAATCAGGATAGCTTTCATCTGACTGTTGGTCTTCAGAGTCACATTTGGTTGAGGCCTGGTTATGGCCCACCTTTGTCTTGAAACAGGACACTTGAGTCTGCAATTGTTTGTTCTGTTCTTTTAACTTCACAATACACTGAGCTTGCTCTTGTGCAATGGATAAGCTAAATTCCATGTGACAGAAAATAATGCCTTTTAGGTTTCTCTTCCTGATACATGCACCTAACACCTTTTTGCATTCTTCAATAGACCATACTCTTTCTGGGTGAATACCAAATTTCTTTGTCAAATTCAATCTGACTGACTCAGTCACTATGGAGTCCATGTGCTCTCCTAACAATGACTTGAACTCACTGTCTGTCCATAGAGGGCTAGCTAGTCCACCTTTCTGAGTTGACGGAACTAGCCTAGCATTCATTCTAACCATTTTGTGAGTTTCTTTGTTACCACACAAACAAACACTAAAACTTCTCTGTTCAAACAGAGGCTACACTTGTTAACACAAATCAACTCTGTTAACCTCCCTTGACAGAGCAAAGGAAAACCCAAATTACTAGTACTTTACGCTAATCTTCCCTGCCTGAAAGAGAGGATAAAAACAACTTCCCTGACTGTTCAGAGGATCACAAAATATTAACATTTATTATACCATGGTCTGGGTGAATACTCGATTCTGATTGGCTGCAGGGTGTCCGTTAAAAAGTGATAGAGGACACCTAGTAAAGGAGTTCTGGTGAAACTGCCTGTTTACCGTTCGAAATTAATAAATAAATGCGCTGCCTACAACAGCTGTGACTGAGTAACCATAGCAACAGGCAGTCAAAGTATCCGTTAACAATTTGCTCTATCAAAACAAACATCTAACGTCAGTTAGATATTACATAGCCTACTAATACAACAATGAGCGACTTCGTTATTTCATCTTCAGTCTCTCACGGACTGACGGAGCAAGCCCGCAGACTGCTCTCGCATCGATGGCCTGGCTGTCACCGACATTATTTGACGGCTCTCCAGTCCAGCATCGGAGAGTCGACCTACAGCGGTGCTTCGGAGGCTGTGGTTAGTGTAGACTCGTGTAACACATAGTGTTTTATGTGTAATAAAAAATAACTATGCCTACCTTTGTGTTTCATGAAAAAAAAATGCATTTTTGAACCTGAAGGGTTCTACAAGTTGAGCGGACTATATATCTCAAGTTGCTAAATAAATCGTCAGGCAAGTTATTATTTAAAAAAACTAGATTTAGCCTAATTAAAATATAAACTAATGTTTTAAAAATGTTTTATTTGGCAAGTGACCATGGTATAAGCGGGTTAATTCCCTTCGAGGTGTCCGTTGTAAGGTTTTAATGGACTTCGGCGGAGGCAACCGTCCTCCCCTGCGCGTCGGCCGGTTTACACCTCGCCGTCGTCCATTAAAACCTTACAACGGACACCTCGTCGGGCATTAGCCCTTACATGTTAATCTTCCCTGCCTGAACAGAGGATAAAACCAAATCATTAGCACGTGATGCTAAACTTCCCTGCCTGAACAGAGGATACACTTTCATCTCTAAAAGAAAACTTTTAAAAGGGTAACCAAAATAAATAGCCTGTAAGACTACCTCTTCTCTGCTTGCACAGAGGCTAACAATATTTTAACTTGAATGCTAAAATCTTCCCTGTCTGGGTAGAGGATTACTTTTCATCTCTAACAGAAAACTTTAGAGGATAAACTTAGCTAACCAAACTCTACAGCTGTCTGTTAACTCTTCTCTGACGGCGCAGAGGCATAGCAAAAATTTGTACTGGTCTTCATCGGTTCTTTGAATAGAGTGAAACTCACCAAATCGTTAGTTGTACGAAAGATTCCGTCTGGAACTCAGTCAGAAATGTTTATTCTTTGTTGAGATCTTTGTTGAGCTTGATGTTTCAAGATTCAATCTGGAACTCAATCAGAAATGTTCATCCTTTGTTGAGATCTTTGTTGAGGTCGAAGTTTCTGGAACTCAGTCAACTTTGGTGAGATCTTTGTTGAGGGCCAGTTCTGGATTCTGGTGAAGTTAATTCTATCCGGGTCACAGGGCACCATCTGTTGGAAACTTATTTTCTTCTCAAGTGTAGAAAAGTCAAAGTTCAGACCAGGAGATTGTTGAGGAATAAGTTCTTTATTTCATCTCTGTAGCATCTCAATCAAATCCAACTAAGGGAAATGTTCCCTTGCAATTTATACATTTAGAGGGGGAGGAGTTTACATTGGGGTGGAGTCCCTCTGAAACAAAGCATGCAAATGAAGTAGGAACACACCCTACTCTGAGGGCATTACCAATCCAATTGAATCAGCATAACTATTCAAATGCTGATAGTGGCCAGGAACTCTGGTTCCTAAGAGCCATCCCAGAGCCATTAAAGACAAAAGGTGAAAGTCTCCCCGACAGCTAATCCAATCAACCTAACGATTCTATCTAGGCTGAAAGGAGAGAAAACAGGACTATCAGGAAAGGAGACTCAATCATCTAAAATCCGTCTACTAAACTTTATCAGTTTTTATACCATTGGAGTGGAAACCTAAATTAAACATTTGACAAATTTGTATTCCTTCAACATGGTCTGACCCAGTGCAAAATTCTACATCGTACCCATCTCACTCGAGTTAGGCTTTCCAAAATCTATAATGATGTCGATCCCATGTGCATTAGATGTCGTCAGGCTCCAGCTACCCATGCCCATATGTTTTGGTCTTGCCCCTCACTATATAATTTTTGGACACAGATATTTAACTCTATTTCTGCTTGTATTGGGGTTCAATTTGATCCAACAGCATGTACCGCTTTGTTTGGGGTTTTACCTCCTACTTTGCAGCTTCCTAAATATAAAGCTGACTTTGTAGCCTTTATCTCCTTATTGGCTAGACGTTTGATTTTATTGAGGTGGAAGTCTCCCTTGCCGCCTTCTCACTCGTCTTGGATCAGGGACATCCTTCAGTTCGTGGAGTTGGAGAAAGTTAGGTGCTCGATACATGGTTCTCATGCAAAGTTTAATAAAACTTGGGGTCCATTTTTTGCACATGTTGAGGGATTGATTTTTACGGCTATTCCAGAGTAGCCCATACCTGTCAACACTCCCGTTTTTCCCGGGTTTCTCCCGTTTTTTAGCCCTATCTCCCGGACCCCTTCCGGTTTGTTATTTTTCCCAGGAAACTCCCGTAATTTGCATGGCCCAAACTCCTTTATGAATAATCGGACCAATATGTTTGTCTAATGTTGACCAGTTGCCAGATTGTATTAAATGCATTATATTCACACAATCCACAGACCATTTACAATTTCAACTCGTTTGTCACCTCAACCTGGCAACCTATAACCCTGTGCGCAGTCGCGGAAAGTTTAACCCGAAAGCGAGCCGATAGACATGATGGCAGGTGAAGGTGGTGTCCCCGCAATGAAACTGAAGTACAGTTTGTAACGCGTTGCTTCAGGAAGATTAGGGATAGCTCACAACTGAAGTTATTGCATGCAGAGGCCAGACAGACACACGGAGGCGATTGGCATCTCACAACTCGCACTTTATTCCCAAATCGAACTCGTGTAGCCTAACTGTCTGTCACACGTTCTACCGTCCACATCGTTACTTAATAAACAAATTAAGATAAAAATTAGCATCAAACAGAAATTACCCGCATACATGGGGTGTTCGCATAGACAGTAAAAGGGGTGTTCGAGGCCCAAGGCACATACAATACAATACTGCCGACAGTTCAACAGGGAGCGCACAGCTCTTAAAGAGTTGTACCCAACCACCCCCAACCCCCCCCCCCCCCCCCCCCCCCCCCCCCACCACGGCGGCGAAATCTCCCGGATTTTGAAAGCCAAATGTTGACAGGTATGGAGTAGCCACCCTGATTGTCTTTTTTTTTCTTGTGTGAATTTGTAGCATGCTGGGATGTTTTTTATTTATCTCTCTGTAAGCGAACATATTGGGCTTTTATTTAGCAGTGGGTGACCATTTTGTGTTTTTTTTCTTTTTTTTCTGTTAATTTGTTTTTGGGGGTTGTTTTTTTATTTTATTTTATTTTTTTATTTTATTTTTATTTTTTCTTCCTTGTTAGTTGTACTTGACACTGTTTTGATTCCCGAATTGTTACCTCTTGATTTTGTTATGTCACTGAAAAAATCAATAAACAAATGTTTAAAAAAAAAAAAAAAATTTTTTTTTTTGTAAATGTATTACTTCAAGTACAGCGTCGTTATTACGTGTAGCTTTTAAGTTGCTAAACTATTTTAATTATAAAATCGTCAGAGCAGCACTGACAACACATTTCTGTGCAAGTGTGTGTCCTTAATGTATGTGTGCATTTGAATGGGAGAGAGAGTGGAAACAGAGAGTTTCACATACTGAGAAACAGTATGTGCTTTCCATACATAATAAAACGTTATTTTGTGGCAAAATACATGGAAATAATTTGACGTTTTTATCTTTCTATATTTAATATAAGCTTATAAGCTTGGTCAGTGTCATTGTGGGTTTTGGTTATTTTGCTGTTGTTGGCTGTAAAGATCTTTTGAAATAACTGAAATCTTTTTTCTTTAAAAAAAAAAAAAGAAGAAAATTTGAAAAACATATAGTTGATACTAGATTTGATGACTGAGGAAATGTGTCATCAAAATCTGTGAAAAGGGTCCATTATTGTTGTTGTGTTTTTGCTGTTAAAACTGAATGTATAAGTACTAATTTTAAAATTGTCTCTGTCTTTTAGTACCTGGTGTCGCTTATTGAGAGCAAATTTGGATGGATGTGCGTCTTCTATTTCTTCATAGTCATGGTAGGTAATTGTAATGCAACAGTGAAGCACTAAAGGCACATCTTTTCTTAGACAAAACTATTCAGTGAACAGTGACTCATTTTTAATTGTCAAATTAAAGGTGAAGTGTAATTAGCATCACCACCAGTCACCAGACTGATGCACCCGCGCAAAGCGGGCTTTTCTCTCCACAGACGCACGTCGGTAAACTAGGAAATGAACTTGCGCTCCCTGGGCAGGTCGGCGCAAAAAGGAGGCGTGTTTCGGCGCAAACATTCCCTAGTGCTATTTTGCAGTTCCAGAAAACAATTCCGCCACTGACCAGAAAAAACCTAGTCTAAAGTCAGTGGCGCGTTGTGCGTTGTTCATAATGCTATTTTAAGCGCGAATGCTTGGCCATAATGTAGCGGGTGCACAACGCGCATAGGCTACACTTTGATTCTCTCAACAACACAGATGCAGCAGTTTTTATTTTTTCAAATCATACATTATAACAAGGAAAAGTATTAACACATGAGGGAAATCATTGTGGTGTCCATGAAGATGTAAAAAAATGTAGTTTTTTTCCTCCCACGCCTGTTTAACCGACGCTGATTTAGGTGGGTTTCTCCCATCCCCATACAACGTCACTTCTCTGTCTTTCACTGCCCTGACAAGAACGTCAGTCTCCTCGGCTGTCCCGCGCGCGCCTGGTAAATCCGCCGTTATAATAACAATCTGCCATGCAACATGCGCACCTGCTCTTAAAGGGTATGTTGGATGACGCTCTGATTGGTTTATTTCACGTTACGCCCAAACCACACCTATGAATAATGAAGCTATTTCAGACCAACCCCTTTTAAACTTGCGTCGGGCGCAAGAGTCATTTATCCCGCCGGTAAAATAGCAACAGCGCCCAAGACCCGCCCACAAAGTTACTTGCGCTTGATACTTGCGTTTCAGATCGTTAAAATAGGGCCCTGGGTCTCATTCATGAAACACGAGCAGAACGAATTTTTGTGTAAATCGTGTGTAAAGTGGTTCTGGCGTAAATTTTCGGATTCATTAAAATGTTCGTATTTTCCAAATGTTAGTTGGTACGAAAGAAATCTACACCTGCTCCCAGCCACGCGTAAATAGTGCGTTTAACATCCGAACGTTTTGCTCATTAATAACTAAGGCTGCATTTTAATTCACCTTAATCGGGTACATATTTACACAGCATTTTGAACAAATATTATATATAGTAATTACATATGGTTTTTCTTTTTACTTCTGGGACTGTTTGATTAACAGATGCAACTCCATTAACTGCATCTGTAATATGCTGCCAAGCTTGCTTTTTTTTAGGACCTGATATGCCACTATGTAGCAGTGGTAATATGCCCAATGGTGGCGCTTCGCACCCACTACGTGTCACAGCCCGCGTGAAGGGGTGTGGCTTAGCCGTATAAAAGTGGGGCTCATGAAAATAATATGTGGTGTTTTGAATGAACTTCTGATAATAAAACTTTGATTTCTGCATCTGAGAATTTTTTCTTTTTCTTTCGCTTTTGAGAATACACCTTGAAATCCTTCGTTTGGTGTCATAATATGATGCCCATATATAGTTGTCAGTCGGATTTAATGGGCGGGATTTATGGTAATTGAGAATGAGCGTGCAGGCGCGTCCCATTTACGACTGATTGGAATTCATTAACACACACACGCATTTCACTATCACGTCTGACGTTTACGAAGTATTTGTGAATCAGGAGATGAGTTTTCGGGAAGGTCTCTTTACGCACAAATCACTCTCATATTTACTCGTATATTTACGAATGTTTCATGAATGAGACCCATTGTGTCCAATCAAATGCTCTCTAGAATAAGAATGTACCTCCCTGTGTCCAAAAATCATGCTTCATAATAGTAATGTAACTAAAACGTATGGGCTATACTTAAAAAAACTAAAGGAAGGGCACAATCTCTTTACTGTGTCCAATCCAAACTTCTTGTTTCAATAGCAAATACATCAACACAAGAAAGAAAACTGCTTATCAAACCATTTCTTGGATCTTTAAGCTTGTATACGATTTGAACACTGCGTAAATGAGCATGATCTTCTCCTTAAATGTGCCATCTACTCTAAAGTCAGTGTTCTGAAAGTTGAGCTGAGCAGACACTTTAAAGCTGCAGTCCGTAGTTTTTCCTCTTTGTCGCCATCTCTGTTTGAAATCTGCAATTGCAGTCATTCGCGGAATTATCAACTTTACGGGAGTTGTACCTCGGCGTGGCACTGCGTGAATGAATCCAATGTTTTGAGGAGAATGTGCAGCTGCCAATCACCTTGCCGGTGTGGATACTGGCATTAAAGGAGAACTCCGGCGCAAAATGAACCTTTGGTCTAATTACACATTGGTACCTAGTCAACCGTCCAGACAGTTTAATAAGAAGATATTTAATACATACAGTCAACTTCGCGTATACAGGCAGAAGCCATCTTTGAAAAACAGTCTCTACCAGTCGATCTACGTACGCCGATCCAAGCCTGCTGTTCGCGCTCACCTTATCACAACTTATAGCTCGTTCACATCTCACCAGCGCACTTGGATCGGCGTTCGTAGATTGACTGGTAGAGACTGTATTTCAAAGATGGCTCCTGCCTGTATACGCGAAGTTGACTGTATGTATTAAATATCTTCTTATTAAACTGTCTGGACGGTTGACTAGGTACCAATGTGTAATTAGACCAAAGGTTCATTTTGCGCCGGAGTTCTCCTTTAAGAATCACAGATTCTACTCTTTGGAAGTATGACCAACATAATAATTTTCACCCTAAAATGTCATCTGAACAAGTAACATCCAGCAGTAAATCGCGCTGATTAAATCTAACGATCGCTTATCATATCACGTCAAACCGTGCAAATTATACTTTGTTCTCAAATTGTTAATGTTAAAAACATCAGCATTGCGTGACTACATTTAAAGCCCTTCCGATATTTATCCTTGTTTTCGCATGGGTCCGGTTGCAGTCTCTTTTTTCAAACTCTCAGTCTTTTGCATTTTACAGCGGGTGAATCTCCAGTTGTCACTGGTGATTGTCGTTTGAACCTTTCTGGTTCCGCCATCAAATTAATAAGTTTAATTATATCAAGTGCTGTGAGAAAAGGCTATAAATCTCCACCTCCAACATCCTCACACTCATAGCCTTCTAGCCGAGACTCCTTCTTTATGTGTACAGTTGTGACGTAATGACGCAAAGACAAGCTCGAATTTCCTGCAGAAATCCACCAGTACTACTACTGGAATTAAAAACATTATTACAAGCTTACCGTTTTGAATCGAGCTAAGGCAAGCAGATAGTGTTGAACACTTATGTATTTTCTCAAACATTTATTTTGGATAATTTTTAACCCAAAAAAGTTACGGACTGGAGCTTTAACATTTGTCTTTCTCTCATCCACAGACAGGGTGCAGCGTGCTCTTCATCATTCCACTCCTCTTCCGTGAAATCCGCTCCTTATGCCGAGACAGTCAAGCTCGTACACATCAGCTCTGAGGTCATTCGGGTGACTTCTTTTGCCTGAATCTTCATTGAAAATCTGACATTTTGAAAATACAGACTTGCTTTTGTAGCACCTCTTATTTAAGATTTTTTTTTTCTCGAAAACAGAAACCTCACATTTAGTCTGGCTACTCTACATCAAGGCATTGTTCAGACAGGCAGCAAATCTGTCTTTATTTTTCCTGGATTCTAAGTCTGATCAGCAAACAAGAATAAACCTATCTTCAAGTAATTTCATTTATGAAGACAGTGAATGTTGCTTAAGGTCTGTTTCTGTTTTATTTCTGTGTATTGCTGTGCCTGTGTTTTTTTTTTTTTTTTTTTTTTTACCATTTGTTTTTTAAATTCTAATTTTATTATTGTTAGAGGGCAGGACCCTCTTGAGTTTAATTCATGGTGATTGTAGCCTGATTGATTTGTTGTATCGAATGGTTGCTTGAACTGAAGAAGTAGATTCATAGCATCATCGTTGGGTTATAATTTGTGTTAAATTTGCACCAATTTTTAAATTCACACTAAAAACACTCAGTTACACTTTAGTATCACATATGTTAAGTGTATTATGGGATGTTTAAATGTAACACCAGTTCAGCAATTTGATGTTTTGTTTCAACTATTGGAACCTGTACAGATATTGCTCGAATGTTTGAATTATGTGATCCATTGTTCCTGCATATATACCCGTATAAGTAATAATAAATTCAGGCAAACAACATGTCTTCATTGATTTAACAAATTAGAGTAAATCAATGATTCAGTCAAGGATTGATTAACAGAGCTTGACTGTTTTTACTGAGCTGTATGTCAATGTTAACAAATCAGTAAAGTGCACATACCGGTACTCATTTTGTCCTAAATTAGTTGTATTAACTGCAGTTTTTGTTTATCTTCTTTTTTCAGTCAAGTGGCAACTGTTCAGTGGCAAACATTTTTGACATCCAGTCAAACCTATCCCTTATGAAACAAAAATATATGGGGATATATTGAAAAATGTGATATATTACATAATACATTTCCATATATGGGAAACTGGTTTAATATACTGCAATATATGCATGGACCATGTATGGTTATGTTCATACATACAGTCCTGGGCTTAGTTTCCCAAAAGCATCGTAAGTCTAAATTGATCAAAGAGCAAGATCAACTTAGGCTTACAATGCTTTTGGGAAACGCAGACCTAGTCAGAATTATTGGGACTACTGGTAAATATGAACAAAGTAGCCTGTGAAAATAAATCTGTAGTTAATCCTTTTGACCTTTTATTCAAATAATTCACAAAAAAATTGAACCTTTCATTGAAGTAAAACAATTGAAAGTCTCATTATGTAATACATGTTACTCTAAATACATATTGGCCACAATTAATGGCACACTTTTATTCAATACTTTTTGCAACCTCCCTTTGCCAAGATAACAACTCTGAGTTCTCTTACGAGAGGTTCTCTCGTATTGCGTAAGTTTAGCTTACGCTATGGGTAAAGTTCATCTTTGCTCGAGATACTGAAGCCAAAATTATCCTTAATTTTGTATATATTGTCAACGCAGTGCAGCAGCTGCAGACCTAGAGCAGGCTGCCTAGCGTGCTCATTGGCTGCCTTGCGGCAACTGCAGCAGCCTACCAGTGAGCCTGGCGTGACGTCACGCCCAATGGTGGCGCTTCGCACCCACTACGTGTCACAGCCCGCGTGAAGGGGTGTGGCTTAGCCGTATAAAAGTGGGGCTCAGAGGCTGCTTCCCTGATTTTTCATCTCTTCAGCGAAGCTCTTCATTTCCGCTGGATCCGAGAGAAGCCGCCGCCTTTGAAACCAGCGACTGCAAGCAGAGGAAAGCGCCTGAGGAAGCCGGTCGACTTCTCGCCGCCTTCAGCCTTCCGTGCCAGCAACGCTATCCGGCGACAATATCATTTTACTGCTCTTGTCTGTTTCTGTGTACTGTGTGTGCTTGCCGCCGCGACACACACTTCTACTAAAAGAGCGCGAGCGTTCTTTTAAGAATGCCTCGCACGTCCTGTGGCTCGTGCCGAGCCCCGCTCAGCGCCGGAGACCGCCACGTGATTTGCTCTCTCTGCCTGGGCCAGGACCACGCAGCCCTCGCACTTTCGTCGGGAGGCTGCGTCCACTGCGAAGAGCTGTCCATGGCGACCCTGCGGGCTCGTCTGGAACTCTTCAACGCTGAAGCTGTCACTCCGCCCTCCATTTCACCGCGCAAGAAGAAGCGCCGTGCTCAGAGGATGCCGGAGCCCGACGCGGAAGACAAACACTCGCCGGACAGGCTCCCTCGAGTGTCTCTCTCGCCTTCCCCTCCCCCCCTCACGGACGCGCAGATGCCGGCTTCCGCCCGCACTGCCGTTGCTTCAGAGGACGAGGCGGACAGGGGCGCCGCGGGCGACAGCTGTTCCATCCTGGCCTCGGACAGCGAGGAATGGCCTGGATCTCTCCACTCCTCCTCTGCTTCCATCCAGGAGTCCGGACGGACACGTTCGGGTGTGGATGCCGAGCTGATGCGTCTCCTGGTGAAGGCCGTCGACCGCCTCGGCCTCGAGTGGTCATCGCCCAAGGAGCCCGCGCTTAACCGCCTTGACGGCTGTTTTCTTCAGCGCCGCCATCAGCCACCGGCTTCAAGGCCTGCTCCTTTTCTGCCGGAGCTCCACACCGAACTCTCTAAATCGTGGAATGCACCTTTCTCCGCAAGGCTCCACTCCAGTTTCTCCGCGACGCTCTCCCACGTGGACGGCGCCGCCGAGAGGGGGTATTTTTCCATTCCCCAAGTGGAAGAAGCGGTAGCAGCGCACCTTTGCCCGCCCTCCTCTGGATGGCGCTCAAAGTCTGCGCTCCCCTCAAAAGCCTGCAGGACCACGTCAGCTCTCGTCGGCCGTGCCTTTTCCGCCGCCGGACAAGCTGCTTCCGCCCTGCACTCTATGGCCGTTCTGCAGATCCTGCAAGCCGACCTCCTCCGTGAATGGGACGGGAAGGGCTCGGATCTAGCTGCGATCGCCGATCTAAGGAGCGCGACGGACCTTTCCTTCCGCGCCACAAAGACCGCAGCCCAGGCCATCTGCAGATCCATGGCTGCGCTAACCGTCACAGAGAGGCACCTCTGGTTGACGCTCGCAGACATGAGTCTGAGCGCGCCACTTTCCTCAACGCGCCGCTCTCCCCCACCGGTCTCTTCGGCCCAGCGGTCAACGGCATTGTGGATCACTTCTCCGAAGTACAGAAGACCTCGCAGGCCATGAATTTGTTTCTGCCACGATGCTCTAGCTCAGCCACAGCCCTCTCACGTGACAAGCCGCCTGCTAGAAGCTCCACTCAGCGTCCAGCCAAGCCTGCCGCTTCGCAGCGTCGACAGGGCGGCCGCCCTAGATTGCGCTCGGACAGCCGCCGCAGGCCGCCTGCCCCGCGGGGACCCCGGCCGAGGATTGTGTTGAAGCCCGAGCAAGCGAAGCCCTCCTAACATCAGGGGAGAAAAGACGGTTGAGTCCCGCTGCGGCCGGACCACCGTCAAAACGCCATGCCTTGTCAGTCCCCCCACAGAGGGCTACTGCAGGAGATTATTTAGCAGCCAACGAGCCGGTTATAATGCCCTCTCGCCTGCACACAAACGCCGTTTTTACGGCGACCCACAGAGATCCCATAAGAGTGTAATTTCTGTTTATCCGGCTCACGCCGCTGGTGTTTTAAGTGTAGGAAATGTGCCCACGCCCCAGTGTTCACCCCTACACACAAGCACTCAAAAACATGTGTCCCTCTGGCCCACAGAGCCCACTCTCATAAAGCTGGCAAATGCCGCTCGAGTGTTAGATGTAAACATCGCGCCCGCGAACTCGCGCTCACGTCCATCTCATGCCCGCTCTGTCACACGGCCATTTCAACCTCAAGTCAGTCAGGTTATGTCAAGTCAAGTCATCTTCATTTATATAGCGCTTTTAACAATGGAGATTGTTTCAAAGCAGCTTTATAGAGATAAACATACAATTTACGGTAACAGAGATTGTTTTGGCTTTATAGCTATTTTTGAATAATGTTATTTCCAGCTAAAGTTGGTTTTGATTGATTCACTTCCCGCAAAATTATCATTTGTTATTACATTAGGGGCCACTAAGACGACGGCGTTCTCTCTAAACAGACTTTAAACGCGAACCTGTGACCTGATGGCGTTCACATGCGCATTCAAAATTGATTCTATAGTTAAATTCGTTTGAATATGTGCGCGCAGGTTTGTAATTTCCCTACAAACCATGCCTAAACAAACTACTTGTCTTGCCTATAAATTTGATAGAGAATTTTATTTTATCACTTCGAAGTACGCGAACCGGATTTCAACAATGCTTTATCTGTAGAGTGGGAAAGGGATCCTCCATAGGGAGAGGATGAGACTTATGAGTGTAAGTCACGTGCCCGCTCACAAGCGCTCACTCTTACTAACAGACACACTGTCTCCGGCGCTGCTCGCGCGTCACAGAATGTTCATGGCACGCTCCCCGTTCACGGTAACCGGGTCGCCTCATGTAAAACAGCCAGCTGTTGCTGTCAGCGAGTCGCCGCATACAGACACCCATATGAGTCAGGCTGCGATTGTAAGTCACGTGCCCGCCCCAGCGCGCTCACGCTTGCTAATAAATGCCTCGCCTCCGGCGCTCACTCGCTACAAAGCTCTCAGAAAACGTTCCCCGCTCAAAGTAACCGGGACGTCACATATGAAACAGCGTGCCATCGCTGCCAGCGAGCCGCCGTGTCTAAGCACTCATACCGGTCAGACTGTGAATGTATGCTACGAGCCCGCTCACGAGAGCTCGCGTGTACTATCAGTCGCTCCGCCTCAAGCGCCGCTCGCGCTTCAGAAAGCCATTGTAAAACGCTCCCCATTCAATGTAATCGGGTCGTTATGTGCGAACCAGCCCAAAGCGGCTGTCAGCGAGCCGCTTCGTCCAAGCACCGTGCGCCCACGTCTCCTTTTCTGTTCCCGAAGCCCACAGTGTGCGGCGATCTGAACCCGGAGGCCATTCTCCCCCTATCCACACATGCACAAGCATGGGAAGCCATTCCAGGGGTTTCAGAGTGGGTGCTGAGCACAATAAGACAGGCCTATGCACTACAGTTCGCTCGGCGTCCCCCGCGTTTTCATGCTCGGACCGAGTCGACAGTGAGCGCGAAAGTAGCACATCTACTCCGCGCAGAAATAGCCAAACTGCTGTGCAAAGGAGCTATAGAACCGGTGCCGCCTTCTCTGAGCGAGTCATGCTTTTACAGCCGTTATTTTCTCGCACCGAAGAAGGCCTGAGGCCTATATTAGATCTGAGATTTTTGAACAAAGCTCTCATGAGGAGACCTTTCAAAATGATTACAACCAGGCAGATCCTCGCGCGAATTCGCCCGAGGGACTGGTTTATATCTCTTGATCTGAAAGACGCATATTTTCAGATACAGATTATACCCCGTCACCGGCCATTCTTGAGATTCGCCTTCGACGGCCAGGTATATCAGTACACCGTCCTCCCGTTTGGCCTGTCCCTGGCACCCTGTACATTTACGAAGTGCATGGACGCGGCGCTCGCCCCCCTCAGATGTCAGGGTGTGCGAATTCTGAACTATTTGGACGATTGGCTGATTCTAGCACAGTCAGAGATAGAGCTTGTATCTCACAGAACTATGCTTCTCAGTCACTTGGAAAGATTGGGTCTCACGGTCAACTGGACCAAGAGCTCATTACAGCCCAGCCAGTCAATCTCCTTTTTAGGGATGGAACTGGACTCCGTGGCTATGAAGGCTCAGCTGTCGACAGAGCGCGCGCGCATGGCCGCATCTTTCCAGAAGGGCAGAATCGCCTCCCTGAAGAAATGTCAGAGGATGCTGGGCTGTATGGCCTCAGCTGCAGCAGTGCTTCAGCTGGGCTTACTGCGCATGCGCCCGCTACAACACTGGTTGAACGCCCGCGTACCCCGTCAGGGGTGGACGCGTGGCTACAAGCGGATCAGGATATCTCAGAGCTGCATTTCAGCTCTGCAGCCCTGGTTAGCGGCCAATTGGTACCAGCAGGGGACGAGGATGGGAGCGATTTCCCACCGGAAAATCATCTCGACAGACGCCTCCAACTCAGGTTGGGGCGGCCTTTTCGAGGGCAGAGGATCCTGAACGAGGGACCGGACAGATTGTCCAGGGACAATATCCCCCCCGGGGAGTGGTCGTTACACCCCCAAACAGTCCAGCTGCTGTGGCGCCTCTTTGGCAGAGCGGAAGTCGACCTATTCGCGTCAAAGGACAATGCTCATTGCCCAGTGTTCTTTTCAAAGAACGAGGATGCGCTGCCCAACTCTGGCCCAGCCGCCCGCTATATGCCTTCCCTCCGATCTCGATGTTACCGCAGGTAATCAAGAGAATCAGGGAATCACACAGCCCGGTGCTCCTCATAGCCCCGCGATGGGAGAACCAAACCTGGTTCCCGGAACTAACACGGCTGTCACACACAGCCCCGTGGCCGATTCCGGTGAGGAGGGACCTCCTCTCTCAAGCCTGCGGCTCGATCTGGCATCCCCACCCAGAGCGCTGGTCTCTGCATGTGTGGTTGATCAACGGATACCCGTTATCCTGCCAGAAGGAGTTATGAACACGATCACGTTATCTAGAGCCCCCTCTACGAGACGGCTAGATGCGTCTAAATGGTCTGTGTTCTCCAAATGGTGCACCGACAAAAATCTGGACCCCAGAATGGGTGAGGTTTCGCAGGTGCTCAGTTTCCTTCAAAAGCTGCTGGATAAGGGCAGGTCCCCATCCACGCTCAGAGTTTACGTGGCGGCCGTCGCAACCTTCGCTGAGTCGAAGCAAGGCCGGTCGCTAGGAAGGAATGAGCTGGTCATACGCTTCTTGAGAGGAGCCAGAAGGATGAACCCTCCGCGCCCACCTTCGGTTCCTATTTGGAATCTCTCCGTGGTCCTAGAGGCCCTAAAGATGCATCCCTTCGAACCATTAGATTCAACGAATCTAAAATACCTCTCGCTTAAAATCGTTTTTCTTTTGGCTCTGTCATCAGTTAAACGTGTGGGGGACTTACACGCGCTATCTGTTAGCACAGCGTGCCTTGAGTTTGGCCCGAATGACTCTAAAGTCATCCTCAAACCGAGACATGGTTATGTCCCGAAGGTGATTGGCACTCCCTTCAGAGCGCAGGTCATTTCTCTGTCGGCTCTGCCAGCATCCGACAGCGCGGGCAGCGACAGTCTCCTATGCCCTGTCAGGGCACTGAGAGCTTACGTAACACGCTCAGCCCCTTTCAGACGCTCCGAGCAGCTTTTCGTTTCGTTTGGCGGGCGCACCAAAGGTCTCGCCGCCTCGAAACAGTCCCTATCCAGATGGATAGTGGATGCGATTTCTGCTGCCTATGCGTCAAAAGGTCTGCGATGCCCTCTGGGCATCAGGGCTCATTCCACAAGAGGCATGGCCTCGTCATGGGCATGGTCGAGTGGAATTTCCATTCACGACATCTGTATGGCGGCGGGCTGGGCCTCCCCGTCTACATTTGTGAGATTCTATAATCTGGAAGTTCCTGCCTTACAGGCCAGACTTCTATCAGTCTAAAGTATGTATGTTCTGCCCACGTCACTGGTGCGCAGGCTACCTCAACGTTAGCTCTCCTGGTTGAGCTACACTAATATGGGGTGATTTACATGTACATGCAGCCCGGCGCCGCCGCTCTGCATTCCCCATGGGTGCTTATGCTTATACATGTGTCGGCCCGCTTGCTGGCCTGAATTTCCCACTTTCACTGTTCCCTGGGTTGGGACTCATAGAGTGGATGCTGGGCACGCACGGCGTTGACAAAGTGTTCCCGTAGCGTAAGTTAAACTTACGCAATACGAGAGAACCTCTCGTAAGAGAACGTACTCGGTTACCTAACGTAACCTCGGTTCTCTCTAGAGAGGGAACGAGTATTGCGTAACCGGCCGTGCTAAGCGCCACGAGCGATTTTCGCTTCAGATCATGAAAACCAGGGAAGCAGCCTCTGAGCCCCGCTTTTATATGCTAAGCCACACCCCTTCGCGTGGGCTGTGACGCGTAGTGGGCGCGAAGCGCCACCATTGGGCGTGACGTCACGCAAGGCTCACTGGTAGGCTGCTGCAGTTGCCGCAAGGCAGCCAATGAGCACGCTAGGCAGCCTGCTCTAGGTCTGCAGCTGCTGCACTGCGTTGACAATATATACAAAATTAAGGATAATTTTGGCTTCAGTATCTCGAGCAAAGATGAACTTTACCCATAGCGTAAGCTAAACTTACGCAATACTCGTTCCCTCTCTAGAGAGAACCGAGGTTACGTTAGGTAAACGAGTACGTTATCATTATAGGTAATTCCTGATGGATTTGGAGAACACCTGACAAGAGATCAGAGAGCACTCTTTACAGAATCTCTAGACCCTTCAAATTCCCAGGTCAATGTTGGTGCACTGTCCTTTTCAGTTCAGATCAGGGGATTGGGATGAGACCCATTTTTGTGTTGATGCTTGTTTTTAATCACTGTCTTAACCAGATCCAACCATGGCCCATTATACGATTTTTTGGGCCAGAGTCGGTCAGTTTGGTTTTTTTATCCGTTGGTATTTGATAGAATCCATGATGCTGTGTATCAGAACAAAACGTCCAAGACATCTGGCAGAAAAACAGGCCCACAACATCAAAGATTCAGCAGTATATTTGGTAACACTTTATTTCTATAGTTCACTCTAGACATTCTACTAACTATAAGTAACTTTGCAACTACATGTCAACTAACTCTCATTTGAGTATTAGTAGACTATGCTTATTATCTGCTAACTCTTTATTTTGATGGTCCCCCAACAGATTTTCTACTGACTATAAGTAACTTGGCAACTACAAGTCAACTTATTCTACTTACCCGAACCCTAACACCTAACCATAACCTAACAGTCAAATTAAATTCAAATGAGCTTTATTGGCATGAATGTGTAAAATAGCACAATATTGCCAAAGCAATAGACATATATATAAACATATAGATAAATAAAACAAACATATAGATAAATAAAAGTGAACAATAAAAAATAAAATAAAACAATTACTAAAATATCAAACAATCAAAATAATAATTATTTGAAAATTTGTACAATTATTTATCCATCTGAGGTTCCACTGGTTGTCCTCATTTCATGGCATCAGGAGACATATTTTGCAGCAATTATTTCACATTTGGGCATTTCTCCTAGTAAATATGGGATTTTCTGTGTGTCTGATATGGATTCGAATTCAGGGTATATTTGGGAAATGTTTGGGAAGTGTTTTTGTCTTAGTGTATTATATTTGGGGCATGAGGTTAGAAAGTGCAGCTCTTATCTGTCTCTACCTGTCCCCGGTCGCACTGGGAGCAGAGTCTCTCCTCTTGTGGGAGCCAGCTCTGTGGCGACCCGTCTCTATGGCCAGGCTGTGTTCACTCAGTCTGTATGTTGTCAACATTTTTATTAGTTTATGACATTTTATTGTACTCAGGCAATTTGCCAGTGTGAATTCTCTTTTTAGGTTCAGATAGAATTGTAATTTACTTTGTGTTTTGGTCGTTTCTTTCCAGTATTCAATATATTTTTCTTTCTGCTTGTTGATAATTTGGTTTGGTCTGCTTGAGTTGGCGTTGCTGTCCTGAGGCTGTTGGGGAGTTGTTACTGCAAAGAGCCTCAGCACCAGCTGTCTGAGGGGACTCTGTTCTGCTTTCAGCTCCTGGTGTGTTAGGGCTTTGTGATGATATGTCTGGGGGTTAACTGATTTTAAGTGATTGTAAAATTTTATTGATATTTTCTGTATCTTTAGTAAGAGGGGGTATTGGCCGAGCTCTGCTCTGCACAGGTTATTCTGTGTTTTTCTCTGCACCTGTAGGATGCTCTTACAGAACTCGGTATGGAAAGATTCTATGATTGTTTTGTCCCATTTGTCAAATTCATTATTAAGTTTTGGCCCCCAAATTTCACTACCATGTAGAATTATTGGTTCTAGTACAAATTGGAAAATTTTAAGCCAGATTTCAATTGGAATATAGATTTTAATGTTTCTTTTTATTGCATAGAAAGCTCTCCTTGCTTTGTCCCTCAGATCTTTCACAGCCATGTTGAGGTTCCCTGTGTATGTAATGGCGAGGCCAAGGTAAGTGTAGTTTTTTGTGTGTTGTAATTTAGTGGTGTCCAAATAGAAATTGTGTGTAACCTGATTTCTGTATTGTTTCTGAAAGATCATTATCTTAGTCTTTACTGTGTTTACTGTCAGGGCCCAGGTCTGGCAGAATCTCTGCAGGAGGTTAAGGTGCTGCTGCAGACCTTCTTTAGTAAGTGAGAGTAACACTAAGTCATCTGCATACAGCAGACCTCTGATCTCTGTGTTGTTCAGGGTGAGGCCAGGTGCCGTGGAACTCTCTAATTGCTTTGCTAATTCATTGATATATAGAGTGAAGAGAATTGGACTGAGATTGCATCCCTGCCTCACTCCCCGGCCCTGGGAGAAGAACGCTGTTAGTTTGTTTCCAATCTTTATGGCACATTCACTTCTCATTGATTGAAATAAATACAGTAAGTTTCAATGATCTTTGAATCTCATTCCAAGCAGTTGGTGCACTAAAAGCAGTTTTTCCAAACTCTGTCTTCATTAAGGGAACATTTAAAAGAATATATCTACTTGAACGCAGATTATACCTGTAAGACTTGATTTTCCTGCTAAGACAAAAACTGAGATAATAAAGCAATAAAACGCACCCTGGACAGAAGATCGCAAAGAAAGAGCACAGGACATTGTCCTGTCCAAACGTTTCTTCTTCCTTATCTCTGCATCCCCCTCTCCCTCCTCCCTTCCTTTCCCCCTGACCTGAAGTCACTAAAAGTTCACTGAAAATGTCTATATATCACATTATATGATGCATCTTGTGAATCTAATGTTTTTCCTTTTCATGTTTGGTATCATTTTAAGTGTCTCAGTGCGATTGGTAAAATGGTCTTAATTTCATTGCAGTCATTGATAATAGGAGAAAGATTAAGAACTTAGGAGAATCCTGTTCTCCTCCTTGGGTGATGTCTTTTCAAGATATCTTCCCTCTCCCCCCGAGACCAGGTGCTACCCCCTGGGGTAGAGGAATTGACCCAATACAAACTCTGAAAAATATTGGTACAACCCTTTTGTTCGGGTCTGGGTATTTAAGGCTAGGTAACAGAGCAGTCGGGGGGAACCTGTAACCAGGAAAACCCCCATACAGTGCTGTGTCAGTGTTTTCCCGGTGGAAAGCACTCACACACTACTGTGTGTCTCTGTCAGGAATGCATTGCTTACTTTTAGAATCATCTTTGAGTAATTGATGTCATGTATTTATTATTTCTGAATTGGCTGTTGCTTGTTTAATTGTCATGATCCATTTTTACCTGACAAATAAATGTTACATCTTGATTTATTCTGAAGTATTCTGAAATCATTATTTTAGTAGATTATGAGGAGGCTGGTGCTACTGCAGCTCTGTGTCCAGGATAGGTCAAACTAAAGGCGCATATTATGAACGGAGCAGTAGGCACGTCATCTGAAGACCTTTTGATTTCTGTCTATCACTGACTTGGCAAGTTGTATGGAAGTGGCTAAATAAACTACACTTTTTTGTATGATTGAGCAGTAGGCAACCGACTTAAGAGGTATTAGCAAACCCTGCACCCTCTGACCAAGATCAGACTGGCAAGACTGTGTCCGTGAGATCCACGTAAACCCGGAGCGTGTGACTCTATGCGGCATTGGGTCCCTTAATGAATGAATAATTGATAGTATGGGATACTCAGAATACTCAAAGATCTAAATTAAATCATAATCAATATTTATGATTATTTTCTAAATTAAAACACGATCTAAATTTGATTGTAAGTCAAAATTGGAGTCAGATTACACGTAGAGCTAAAGTAATATTGAAACTAAATTCTAATAAATTAAGTGAACTTCACTGGAGCGCTGAAAAGACATACACGCATTATCCCTTCGCCCAGGCCGTTGGATTCCGTCTTTGGACCAATGGGTGGTCCTTACATACCCTTGACAGTTAATAGACTAATCATATACAGAGGAAGCTGACCAACTATGGCCTTGTACACAAGTAAGCCAATGCTTGTACCGTCTTAAGTGAAGTGAAGGCCAACCAACCATTTCATACAGTGCACAATGATGAGTATAATAATTTGTACGAGTTATAAATCTTAGAGCAGAGTGATAAACAGAGTCTAATGATTGTAAAAGAGCCTCAGTGGTATTTCTGTAAAAAACATCTCCATAATCTAGACAGGTAAGAAGGTAGCTTCCACCAACTTTCTCTAGGCTGACTGTGAAAAACAGGCACTGTTCCGAAAATAAAACCCCAGCTGTAACCTTAACTTAGATACCAATTGTTTAACATGTAAATTGAATGATGTCCTCCTCCAACATAACACAGTCTCATCCCAAGAAGTCATATAACTGACGTCTTGGGACGTCTTTTGACCATACGTCAATATCCGCCTTTTTAGGGTACCCTTAAACGTTGGTTTATGACGATCCTGGGACGTCATACAACTGACGCTTTACCTTTAACGTCAGTTAGGTGACGGGGTAGGTTTAGGGGTAGGTTTAGGTCTGGGGTAGAGTTAGGATCCGATAACGTCATCTAACCGACGTTTAAGGGTACCCTAAAAAGGCGGATATTGACGTATGGTCAAAAGACGTCCCAAGACGTCAGTTATATGACGTCTTGGGATGAGACTGCGCAGTCCAACACAAAGCCTAAATATCTGTAGGAGGAAACCAGTTCTATAGATTTACCCTGCAGAGTGTTAAGAGGTGATGGAGAAAATTCACACTTACGTTTCCTAGAAAAGACCATGCATTTTGTTTTCTTATCATTCAGAACTAGTTTTAAAGAGAGGAGGTTGCGCTGAACCATTACAAATGCTTCCTGCAACTTTGAAATGCAACTGTCAATGGAAGATGCAAAACAATAAATTATGGTGTCATCTGCATATAAATGAATACTTGCGTCTGATAGGTTATCAGCAAGATTGTTAATATATAGTGTAAATAACAGGGGACCCAAAATGGACCCCTGTGGCACACCAGATTCAATACTGAGCCTATCAGAAAGAGACCCCTTAATTTGCACCCTTTGGGACCTATTCTTTAAATAGTTCCTAATCCAACCTAATGCGGTTTCAGAAAGACCGATACAATGTAGACGTGATGAAGAATACCATGATTGACTGTATCAAAAGCTTTAGTCAAATCAATAAACACTGCAACACATGATCTTCCATTATAGGGCACAGGTAATGTCATTTAGAACTTTTATAGTGGCGGTTACCATACTATGATTCTTTCTGAAACCAGACTGAAACCTAGACAAAATGCTATTACTAACAAAGAATTCCTTTAGCTGTTCGCTGACAATAGATTAAACAATTTTGGCTATAACTGATAGCTTAGAAATCGGTCTATAATTATTTAAATTGGCTGGATCACCACCTTTCAACAGGGGTACAACCAGAGCAGATTTCCAGACATCAGGGATAACATTCTGTTCTAATGATAAATTGAAAATATAAGCTAGTGGGCCAGCAATGATCTCAGCAGCTACTTAAAAAAAAAAAAAATGGCTCAACTTCATCAGGCCCTGCAGACTTCTTAATGTCCAGGGCCCGTATTCATAAAGATTCTAAGAATCCTCTCAGAAAACTCTTAATTTAGCTTTTCTTAATTTAATTATTTTACGTAGGATTAGCTTAAGAGCGATTCGGGACCGATCTGAGAGCAACTCTGAGTAAGGAAAAGTCAAAAACTCTCATCTTAGTGAGGAGGTGGGGTTGACCCCGTTGCTATGTATGACACAATCTTTTGAAGACTGTGATTGGTTGGTTGTCCAACAAGGAATAAAAGAGTGATTTTAACTCTTTTAAAATCACTCTATTCTAAGCCTTCTAATAAAGCCTGAAGGCTCTATTCTAAGAATGTTGGTTTGAATGTTGGTTTTAATGTAACAAACATGGAATCAAAACCAAGAAGGACGAGAGAACCCGACTGGACAGAGGAACAGTGTTTACTGTTAGCCCAGTTAGTGGATGAACACAAGGCCATCCGTAAAGGAACATTCGGGCCGGGTGTCAATCATTAGTGTCTTATTAACTCACTGTCATCCATTGTCTGCAACACATTTCTTCTCCCTCTTTGTCTTTCTGCCATTTTCTCCTCTGCTAAAGAAACTCTTAAGCCTCTTAAAAGTCCTTGTCCGTACTCCTAACAATTTTGACCTTAAGACCTCTTTTAAGGGTTAAGATACTTTCTGAATTACTTTTTTCTTTACCAGGATTTTTTCTTTATTTATAAGAGTAAACGCCCACATTTCTAAGAATTTTCTTAGAATTTTGTCACTAGGAGCTACTCTTTGCATTAAGATTCTTGGAGAAAATAACAGAATGATGAAGATTTTTATACCAAAAAATGTGATGCAGACAATGGATGACAGTGAGTTAATAAGACGCTATAGATGAGATCGTGCAGGGATCATGTTTGTGACTGATCTTATTAGAGACAAGCTAATATCTCAGACACAGCGCAGGAATGCCATAACGCCAGAAATGAAAGTAATCACTACATTAAGATATTTGGCAAATGGGAAAATGCAATAAAGCAGCAGTGATTTGGGTCTGTCACAACCTTCTGTAAGCAGTGATCACACAAACATTACAGCATTTTCAGAACCTCTTATTGCGTCGCAGTTCATTGTTTCCACTGGACATTCCCACCTTGCAGGCTAAAAAAAAACTGCAGTTATGAATAGCAGGCTTCCCTGGTGCGCACAAGCAGGGGAATGAACTGTTAATCATTTGCGCTATAAGCTCCCACGTCCGCTTCTCGCTCCATGCTGTGACACCCGGCCCGAATTTTCCTTTAAGGATGGCCTAGTGTTCATCCACTAACTGGGCTAACAGTAAACACGGTTCTTCTGACCAGTCGGGCTTTCTCGTCTTTCTCAGATTTAACAAAAAATATCTTAATTTGTGTTCCGAAGAGGAACGAAGGTCACACGTAGGCTCACTATTGGCCGACGCTGGTCATGTGCGTGATGCGTGTGACGTACAACAACAGAAGCTTACGCTATTACACTAGTGAACTGACTCGAGGCCCACAGAGAAGGAAATGAATAGTTGAAATAAAGTCGTTATTTTTGTTTTTTTGTGCACAAAAAGTATTCTCGTCGCTTGATGAACTTAAGATTGAGCCACTGTAGTCACTTGGACTATTTTAACGATGTCTTTAATAACTTTTCGAGGCCGGCAAGTTCAATCCCTGAAGGAGCCTATGGACTAGTATGGAGGAGTGATCCAGCTCTCAGATTTCATCAAAAATATCTTAATTCGTGTTCCGAAGATGAACGAAGGTCTTATGGGGTTGGAACAACATGAGGGTGAGTAATTACTGACAGAATTTTCATTTTTGGGTGAACAACTAACCCTTTAATACTTGCAGCCCCTCTGAAGAGGCAAAAGGTATGTTAAATCAGGTGAGATAAGAGCATTTTGTCTGTTAATATGTAAGTTTTTGCACAAATGTAAGACAGCATGTGAATGTAAACAATGTTAGCTGATCAGTACATGTTTTGTATACATTTCAGCTCTTACGTTGGTGATATGGTTGAACGGATTAAGGTTCATAAAGATTAAATATCATAAAACCATCAGTAAAAGTTTCATCCTTGTTCGGGGGGCATGCTACAACAATTATCTTGGTTTTGTCTTCGTTAAGCTTAAAAAAATGTCTTGTAATGAAATGCTTGGCAATGAAATGCTACATTGTATTTTCGGAAGATAGCAACAAATAGGTAACAAATAAAGCGAAAAAAGTAACGGAGCAAGGACAAGGAGCATTGTTCAATGATAGAAAAATGTAATTTAACACCTTGACCAACACTGTCTACGTTCTATGGCAGGACTTAAATCCTGATAGAAGAGGCTCAACTATTGATTTCAATGTAATACAAGTTTGTAATTGTTTAAAACCCAGTTTTTCTAAAATCTTGGCTAAAAAACATAAATTTGAAACCGGTCTGAAATTAAAGACAAATTCAATTCAATTCAAGTCGTGTTTAGATTATTACACTTATTATGAAGTAATTATATGTCAAAAAATATGTAGACCTTAATGAAGGCACATAAAAGGTTTTGAATGTTACAAGTGATTAGTTTGGAGTTGTGAACTGTGAAAATGTAGCACTTGTCAAAACAGTGCCAAAGTGTTTTAAAAAACTGTATATGTTCAGTTGTATTCTGATATGCACAGTGTATTACAATCAAATAAAGACATACTTCCAAAAACATTATAAACAAACATTTTATCAGTGATTTTTGCATACTATGCAAACTCGTACATCAGTCATATGGTAAAACATGTTAATACTAACTGATTTTATAAGTAACATTCAATCATATACATGACTACTAATTCACAAGAGGTATCATGCACTGAATACAACACTGTTGACAGATCTGCAACAAAAGCTGCGGGGTAAAAGAAGTCAACTGGCATCACATCTTATGACCAAATATAGTGCAAAATACAATAGTTAATTGGTGATATCAAGAGGCACTTGAAAACACAGAATGGCAGAATTAAGTGAACGTGAGTTTTTTCAAAAAGTTGAACAATGAAAGTACACACAACGTCCTGTAAACCTGAAGTGAAGTTCAAGATAATTCCTTGTCATTTTGCTATACTTCTGAGGGGAAAAAACAAACGCTCCATTTTACATATTTGTTTTCTTATACATGTGTGAGTGTGTATAAAATTAAGGTCATTGTCATTTCATGAGGTAGAGTACTAATATTTTCTATTACTGCATTTTTTTTCATTCTAATTTTAAGAGGAAGTCACTGAATGTATCAGAAATGTTTAACATGTGTGTTTATTTGCCTGAACAACTAGTTGACAAATCTGTCTTTAAAAACCTGAAACTGGAATTCTACTTAACAAATTCTGTTTAAATTGCAGTTTAATATTTTGGCATGTGGGTTTGTTTTAGTGGCTTAATTCAATCTTCCTGACAGCAGTTCAAAGAGTTTTAAGGCTTTCTATTTATTGTAAGCAATTACTTTGGGCATCAGCTGCCTCTTTAATACCAAATAATTTCAAACAAATAGCTAATTGAACAAATAACACATATTTTTGAGTAAATCACACATGCACAGGACAAAAATACAGTATTGTAAAAAGTATGGTATAAATGATTGATGGAAAACATCCTTGCAATTTTTGCTAATACTACAGGTAAGATTCAAACTTAAGACAAATGTAGCTTTTCAACATATAAAATTTTCCCCCAATTTGGCAAGACGGAGCCTCATGCACAATCATAGGAAACGTGGTCAGACACTCCTCAGGGCAATATCCATTTAAAAACATTTACAAAATCTCTTTTTACATAACTTCAAATATATTGAAGCATACCTTGTGTTTGCTAGTAACTGTAATAATAGTCACTTTTATTTTATACCAAAATGTATATGCTTCAAGAAAAACATGAATGGCTCAGGTTACATTTTTTGTAATATATAAAAACAGGAATATAAATAACAGATTTGGGACAGAATAATGGTAAGACATTGTTAGCAGGCACTGATGCCACTTAAAAGGATCAATGCATTTTGAGTCTGAGAAATGCAAAAGTTTATGATGTTACCAAACAGTCCTTTAGTAGTGCATTTTTGTAAACATTCACAGTACTTGCTTATATAAAAATAAATGTATGTATGTATATTCAGTGCACAAAAAAACAAAAACGAAAAAAACAAAACAAATCCCTAACATTTTCTAATTTGACTGTGTAACACAGCATGGAACATTTTTATACTTTTATACTGAGTGAATGCTTATTCAATGACTGGAATTCAATTGCTTCTAATTATTCAAATGTACTATAGATCTGAATTTGGATCTAATTTAAAATAGACATGATTCCATGTTGTAACAATAAAATCTGAAAAAGTACAAGAGGTTAAGATTTTTAATAGGTACAGCATATATATATATATATATATATATATATATATATATGTATATAGCCTATTAAGTCTTATTTGCTGGTCAGTTAGAAGAGCTACATGTGCAAATATTGTATGTACATTTATACAAAAAAAGTCCAAGTAATGTTTACTGTCCTGGTGAAGCTTTGTGATGAAGAAATCTTCTTTTAGACACTCTGAAAAAGTCTGGAAGAGAGAAAAGCTTTATTCAGCCTTAAACATTATTCATTTTGTTTGCAATGTCCCTGCTCACATCTGGCTTTAACCCAATGAAACAGAATGTAAAGTGTGCGACTGTATACCTGTGATGTTTGCTTGTCTGCTATTGACCCCCAGCAGTGCAGCCTTTCTCTTCTCTGGCTTGGTTCCCCTCAAAGTTCCTCTGGTCCAAAGCTCCAGATATTTCTCTGTGGCCTTTGCTTGAGAAGAACAAGCGCAGGATCCTTCTCCAACAGCTGCTTCCACCATTTGCTTTGCCATACCGGGCCTGACCACACAGCTATGGTAGAATGCTGGGACGTCCTGGCACCGCAGCTCTTCCCACTCAACGCAGCCGGGGACAGGCTGGTCCCTCTGAAAGTCAAAGTTCCAGCGCTGTTTGGCGTTCTCCACGCTCATGCAGAAGAGCCTCTGGAAGTCCTGCTGCAACTGCTGGTGGTCCACAGGGCCAAAAAGGTTCCGCCGAATTACAGCTGCCTGAGGTTTTATGTCCTCCTCCTGTCTGTCCAGCAGCCCAAAATCACATGCAGCTGGTGTCAGGGACATGTTCCTGTCAAACATGGACAAAGGAGAGAAATGCCCCAAAAGTATAGGCATTAGAGTACATTTGTCTAGTGTTACTTGCACAACACTTTTCTACATAATTTTCTCTCAATGTATTTGAATCCAATGGCATTTTGTTGATTGCATGAAGTCAGTTATCCTCGTCCACACATTTGTGTGTAATGCAAAGGCATTCATACATTTTAAGTGTGATTTTAAGTGTCAAGTTATTTTTTGCACTCACTGTGTATATGGGTAAATGTCCAACATAAAGATGCTGTTTACAATACCAAGTTCTTACACTGTAAAAAAATATTTTCATGATTTATCAGAACTTTTTAATTTCAATGAACTCAATTTTAAGGCAACCAGATAACTTACTTTTTTTAAGTTAAACCAACAATATATATTTTTACACAACATGGATATGTTGGTTTAATATGGTTTTCAAAAACCTTTATGGCAACTAATATTTTGATTAAATGATTTTGAAAATGGTAATACAAAAACAAAGGGCATAAAAAGGGGGAGGGGGAGGGGGAGGGGAAGGGGGGGGGGTTGGGGTTCATTTATTTTTTACTTTTTTGAATGACTTTGTTTTGGTGGAGAGTTTAAAAACATATACATATCTAATAAAAACTTATTTTTGTCCAAGAAATAATGATTATGCGAAACTACTTAATTCTTAATTAATATAAATTCAGAAACTGAACTAAAAGCTGTATTGTGTTTTTAAATAAATGTAAAAAAATAAGCGATATATAAATAATTATTTAATATCAAATTATAAATATAATAATCGAATGACTCACTTTGTCTTGTGTTTTTTTTTTTTTCTATACTGACGCTCCATTTTTAGAGTGTGTTTCATGAATGAAATCAGTCATTTTAATTAAATTAACTCTGTACGATCGCACGAAACCACTGAAGGAGAAAATTGTGAGTGATACTTGTTTACATCGAAAAAGTAGGCGCGGCACGCCTATCAAATTACTACACTACACTACTACACTTCACGAGCACACGCGCGCACGAGAGGGGAGAAAACACAACAGGAATGTCTGACACCTCCTGTTCCGTCACTCTTGCCAAATACCTTTAAATTGTTAATAAAATATCGTTACCAATTAAACAGAAGACAAGCATTTCAAACCCCCCTAGATAGATATATGTCAATGTCAAAAAATAAATAAATAAATATATTAACTCACCATTCGAGTAAAAGCAGAGCTCTGGATGAGGGAGATTAAATCCACAGCTACCGTTACTAATGCACTTTCTGATCAATGACATAAACTAACGACCTGAGCTACAAACACGACAGGAGAAGCGAAGCTCTCAAACTCATCTGATTGCTAGTTGTTTGTTATGATGGCAGGACTGCCCACAGTCACGTGACACGCACAGCACTGCATTCAATAAGAACGATTATGTAACCCCAAGTCAAAAACAAGAAATTATCTACTTAATGCATTGACAAAATAAAATAGTCAAAATATATTTGTAAAATTGACGTACTTTTTCCACGTCTTAACGTATCCTCATACACATGTGGAAAGTAGGTCAAATCCCCACCACAACCCCTGCGCGCGCTTGACACACATTCGTTGTTTTTCTCGTGTCACGTTCATCTAAGGCGCGCGGCCAGGAACTCCAGTCACGTTGATCTGCAACGTGACGAGGAGGAGCCACACACTGCATTTGATTTTCTTCTGCTACGACGAAGAGAAGGGAGAGCAGAAATGGATAAAAATATGAATCTATGCTGGGAGAAACGAACCTTTCTTAAGCATTGAATCAATTTAACCAAATGCTTCGCAAAACGATTCACTGTTTCGAAGCGCTCGGGACACACACAGCGTTGACTGTGCTGGTCAAAACTGTGTAAATGCAAGAAAGACATGCATAAAAATATGCACAAACCAAAACATGCATAAAAACTGCTTTTACAAACCCATTGCAAATGTATTATTAAAAGTATAATATATTAAATGCAATTATCAAATCATCAAAATAACAATATGAAGTGTCTGTACATAATGTGTTCTTTTATCAATTTGCAAGGCTAATTTGCAAGGTTTTGCTTGATTAATGGATAGCTTGTCTACTATCAGACACTATTAACTATTATTTAATTACACAAATGTCTAATTAAAAATGTCTAATAATTTACAGAGATGGCACCCCCTATTGAATTTATGCTTGATTTAGCTTGTCTAAACAGGTCTATCAGACACTATTATTAACTATTATTTAATTACACAAATGTCTCATTAAAAATGTCTACAAATTTATAAAACTTTACAGAGATGGCACCCCTATTGAACATTTCCAAACATTTCAAAACTAATGTTCTGAACATAGACAGTTGAAGTGGGAACCGTTTTAGCGGGGCATGATCCCTCGTGAGATGTATTTGTTTGTCTGTTTATTTATTAATTGCAAAATGGTATTTTGTTGTATCTTACTATATATTCACAGATGCAAAGTTGGTTGGTTACATATTTTCCTAATATCAGCCATAACACTTAAGTATATTTTGTAAAAATAAACACATTTTGATTTTGATGGCTGCAACACACTCCAAAAAAGCCAGGACAGAGGCACTGTGTCACATCACCTTTCCTTTTCCTTTTAATTACACTTTTTAAATGTTTGGGAATTGAATATACTAATTATTGCAGTTTAGCAAGTGGAATTTTTGCCCAATCTTGCCTGTTTTAAGACAGCTGCTGTCTGTAGTCTTCATTGTCTGATTCTCCTTTTCATGATGGGTCATACATTTTCAATAAGAGACAGATCCAGACTGCATGTGGGCAGTCAAGCTCATTCCATGAAGCCTGGAATGAGGCTCTTGCTTCCCAGGAAAGATGTCATCTTGAAGCCATTAAATGTCTCTGTACAATCCCAATATGTCTCCACGTCAGTGTTTCCTTCACACACATGCAAGTCACCCATACCGTCTGCACTGTTGAACCCCCATACCATGATAGATGTTTGCTTTTGTACCTGTCGCGGATGAAAGTCTGGATGGTCCCTTTCGTCTTTGGGATTGAGAACTCGATGTCTGTTTTTCCCAAAAACAAGCTGAAACGTGGACTCATCTGACCACAGCACACATTTCCACTGTGTTTTGGATCATCTGAGATGAGCTCGGCCCAGAGAACTCAGCAGCATCTCTGCATTGAACAAATGTATAGCTTTCTCCTTGCGTAACAGAGATTCGAGTGGCATTTCTTGATGCAGCGTCAGACTGTGTTATAAGTGACAACGGTTTTCCAAAGTACTCCTGAGCACAGCACATGTGGATATATTTAACAGTAGCATGATGGTTTCGCATGCAATGCCATCTGAGGGTGTCAAAGGTCACACACATTCAACGATCTCCTGCCTTGCCCTACATGTACTGAGATTTCTCTGGATTCCCTGAATCTTTTCACAATATTATGTATGGTAGATGGTGAAAGTTAGTTCACCTAGTTATTGTGGTCTGTTTCAAAAGAGTTTAATTTGGATATTCTATTGTCTTTCACTTTTATTTGCCTCTGTCTCAACTTTTTTGGAGTGCGTTGCAGCCATCAACATCAAAATGGTGGTTGGTCAGTGGAAACTTTGAAAATCTTTTCTTTGTACTTTTGTCAGTTAAAGGTTAAAGAGATTTAACAAATCACAGATTCTTGTCAAGAGATTCTTGTTCAAATCAAGAATCTGTGATTTGTTAATTCTCTTTAACCTTTAGTTATGCTGCAATGAATTCTGAGAGCCACCATAGTATAACACTCATCCATGGTTCCCAGCATGCATTGCAGCATGAAGCATGTCACCGTCATTGAGATTCATACACTGATTCTTGATGTCTGTCTGTGTCTAAATATAAAAGCAGTTTAAAATATTTTGTTTGATGTATGATCAAAAGTGTCTGATTACCACAACAGCGTTGATCCTCTTGTTAAAATGCAGCAATCACAATAAAATATACAAATGCATTGAACCAAATATGTCACCATAAATAAATACCCAACAGATTATCCAAAGAATTTTTCTTTCCTTTTAAAGCAACAATGACTGTGTCGTATAAACACACAGTTACAGCAGCCAAAGAAAAACTAATGTTGTTAAGCCAAGAGCCCAACTAAAGCAAACACTAATCTTCACAATGGTGACTGTAAAATTTTATTATTTTCAATAAAATCATCAACATCTAAACCTTTGTTAGTTCTCAATAAGAACTTCTGCAGACGTATGACAGAAATAAAGTAAATCTGGTTAGTAATAAGTGAAGCTGGTAATGCTGTTTTTGTTGTTTAACCCCCTTCTACTAAGATCTTGGGAGACATGTTAGTGTTTAATGTTCTGTTGGGATTTAAAAGGTTTCTGTTGTTTGAGTTTTCTGAGGTCACCATTGTGCTGAAGAGTAGAGTGCCTCAGTCCAGCAGAAGACGAGACCCATTGAGAATTTGCTGTATGTTGCTTTATTTAAAAGGCATTACTCTATTGTAGTAACTGTTACTATTGTAGTAAGTGCACTCGTGGCAGCATATCAGACCTCCTGTTAAAGTGATTGGTTGGTGAACCCAATTGTTTTTGTGTGCAGATCTCAGAGACGGCCTGCTTATGGGGCGGGCAGCTAGCGGATCGTTAGGAAAGATTAGATGAATGGGATCATTTATGTTTGGGCCCTTTTTGGGCCTGAAATCGCTGATAAAGGGAGGCTGCAAACAGCACAGAATAAATTAATAAGAGTAATTCTGAACCTGGGCCATAGGTCTCATGGTCACAATTTGTTGAGCTCATCTGGCTCCCTGTTGAGTCTCGTGTTATTATGTCAAGGCTGATCATGACCCATAAAATATTGTTTGGTAATGTCCCATTTTTTTTTTGTCGTGTCTTATTACTAAGGTAAAGGACACACACACAATATCTACACTCGTGGCAGCATCTCAGACCTCCGTCCTTATACATTTAAGACAGTGTTAGGGAAAGGAACCTTTGCTTATATGTTAGGGAAAGGAACTGCCCCTGCAGTTAGATTGGCAAGTTAAAGTCATTTCCAGCATGAACTCTTTCAAAAAGAAAATCAAGGCCTTACCGTTTTTATTTAAGAAAAATGTTTTTATGTTATGTCATTGATTATCACACAACCTGTAAGTGTCTTGTCCTGATGTTATGTGTTGAGGACCACAATGTAAACAAGTCCTGGACTTTATAAGGTTTTTATTCTCGATTGTATTTGATGCCTTTTTTGTTTCATGTGTAAGGCATTCTTGATACAATTAAATAAATCAAATAAAATAAAATCATGACATTGTTACTGCCATGTTACCTCTATGTTTAAGTAACAGGAACATTTCAGTTCCCAAAATTATTTTGTAAATGTAGTTGCTCCCAGGTGAAAAATAAATGTGTTAAGTATATTAAATCTTAGCATATTTGAGCATACTTAAAGCCAGACTAATCATCAGTATACTTCAAGTTTGTTAATGATTATTTAACTTGAAGCATGCTATTTTGGAACAACTAATTTTGTACTTAATATATTTTAGTTGTAATTTAATTGTAGAAAAGCACAATTTGAAGTGTACTTAGTGTACTTTTACGTGCTAAAATGGAACCACTTCAAGTATACTTTGTATACTTGAAGTATATCGCTGTATGTAATGATATACATGCTTGATTAATAAGCATTAAGTGTACCATATCTGTGTTAGAAGTACATTTAAAATGCACTTTGAATGTCTTACAAATATAAAAGCATTATACTTTTAAAATATTATTATTGTGATTATAGTATGCTCAGTTCTACTTTGGGTTTATTCAAATTAGAAACAAAGTACACTTTTTGGCTACTTATCAATATATGTTATTACTCTGTTACTTTTTGGTTAGCTATTGTAGGCTACCAGTATGAAGGCTGAATTAAATAAGGGACTACTCAACACACTTGCAGGTGAAAAAAGTACTTTATTGGTCATAGTTTGGGCATTCACAACGATAACAGGGAGGTGATTGAGTCCACTGTGTGGTGAATTTGTATGGTGGCAAATACTAACACAGTATTGGCAATGTACTATTAATACTAACACAGTATACAACACTAACACTAACATTATAAAAATAAAAAGAAAGTACACTTTCTAGAAACTTATGGAAAGTATTAGGACAGAATAGTTTTAATTCAACGTCACAGTATTACTTAAGATAACGGACAGAAGAAGTCGCAAAAGAACTTATGGCCAGACATCAAAGCTTGCAAACTGACAAGCCAAATTCAGTAAATAAAGTCATGTGTTTATAAGAGTCCATTGATTAACATATGAAACAGTCATATATCACCCACCTTATCTAAACA